TATTTAAAAGCTATTGTCCTTACTCAGATGTAGATTTAACCATGGAGTTGTTCATCTTCTCTTAGTCTAGTATTCAAGAAGAGTCATTAATTCTAATTGCTACTTATCTGTTTAAAATATTTAAGGCATACATATACACACACAGATGATTCAAAACTTTAAAAACTAACCCATATGTTATAATATCCAATCATATTATTCATTTAAAAGCTATTGTCCTTACTCAGATGTAGATTTAACCATGGAGTTGTTCATCTTCTCTTAGTCTAGTATTCAAGAAGAGTCATTAATTCTAATTGCTACTTATCTGTTTAAAATATTTAAGGCATACATATACACACACAGATGATTCAAAACTTTAAAAACTAACCCATATGTTATAATATCCAATCATATTATTCTTTTACCTCTTTCCCACCTAAAATGGAGAAAACATGTATTTTCTTTCCCCTTTAAATACAGGAAAATATGACTTTTTTGAAAAAAGAAGGTTAAAAAAACACAACTCAGCTACTTGCTATAGTGGCTGCACTTAAAATTAGCAGAAATTCTCCTAAAGCACACAAAAATGTTACTGGCAAAATATTATTTTTAAAAGGTAGCTGAGATAGATGCGTATAAAACTAAACACAAGGCAGACTGTGATGAATGCTGAAACATAAGGGCAAAGTCAAACTATAGGAACATAAGAAAAAACTAGAAACTTCATGAGGTAATATTTCAGTTGGGTCTTAAAATAGGTGTGAGTTTAACAGGCTGTGACAAAAGAAGCATATTAAGTTTGGGTGCAGAATGAGCCAGAACACTAGGACAGGAAATGGCAGGTGTATTGAGTGACTGCCCAGCCTTCCAACTCTGAAGGTTTTGAATAGGGAATTAACAATTTGATCTCTGAGATAATCCTGAGATAGGGTAGAGTACAGTGAGAAATTAGAATATAAGAGAAGAGCTAGGCTTTGTATAGTTCCTTCATGAAAGAAAGAAAAAAAAGAAGCCTCACTGACAACAACGAGCTTGGTAAGGAGAGGGTGAAAAGGAAGGCGTCCTTTGTCTGGTGTGGCTCGGCCTTTAAATGACTGCATAGGAAGAGGAAAAACTTGCAGCCTGGGAGGCTGGGAGTTCATCATGGGAATAGGGGACACAGGGGGAAAGGCAGAGTATAAGAGTATGTTATACATCAAGCAACCAGCACTGTGGCAAGGTCTGTAAGGAACCTGGTGATCCTGAATGCCCATGAGTTCAAGAGACTTGTCCCCAGCCTTGGAATCCGTCTGTTTTGTGACAGTAGCTTTTACACATTATTTTCTTTAAAACTGCAGCATAAAATTCACTTAAATCTACCAATGTTTCTTAATTGTAAGCTACTATTCCTTGACATTCACTGAAATGACAACCCCATACAAGATGGCATGGTGAAACAGGAAACCCAAGCAAGAAAACACCAGACTTCGGCAGAGAAGCAGGATGCTTACTGAGGCTGTGTCGAGGGTCTGAGGATCTGGATTGAAAAAAGCTGTGGACTTTCTGACTCTGGAGAAAAGCTTGTGATGAGGTTGAAAATAGCTGCCTGCATAAAAAAAGAAAGAAGATTTGTTAATTTCATCTAATATAAATACAAAAAAGTCACAGTTTAGACTGTAAAGCAAACCTAAATGTCAGTTTAATTCAGGTATAAAAAAAATAGTTTTCCTAAGAAAATGAATATTATTTTCTAATATATTTCCCACAGAAGGAACTGAATAAAAGTTAACAAAACTTATTTGCAAGAATCTAATAAATAGGCTTATTTTTAATTTTGTATAATCTAATGGTAAGGTTTCAATTCTGGCAAAAGGTGTATACTACATCAGCCTTTTGCCCAAGTGGGCCAGCCTTTCTGCTCAGAAAAAGTACAGTTCTCATAGGTGTGACTTTTCATCATTTGGTGTATCATGAAAAAAAACCTTCCTACACTCTGAAAACAGGAGGTGGGAAGTCTGGGACGCTAAGAGTCCGGGAAACTATGGAGCGTAGTGGTCAGGTCAGTTCCAAGCATTACTACTACATCCCAAGGCATGACTAAGCAAGGATTCACTCCAATGTGTATCACACCATGACTCTAGGCCAGCCGTGGGCAAACTACGGCCCACGGGCGGGATCCAGCCCGTTTGAAATGAATGAACCTAAAAAAAAAAAAAAAAAAAAAAACCGTACCCTTTTATGTAATGATGCTTACTTTGAATTTATATTAGTTCACACAAACACTCCATCCATGCTTTTGTTCCGGACCTCCAGTCCAGTTTAAGAACCCATTGTGGCCCTCGAGTCAAAAAGTTTGCCCACCCCTGCTCTAGGCTGTTATCTTTGAAAACCAGAATTCCTCATATTTATTAATACAATTAAAATATTCCAACGGGAGGTCTTCCCTACAAAAAGGACCCTACAAAAAGGGGCAGTTAGAGCACAGTCTAATGCAGTGGTTCTCAACCTTCCTAATGCCGCGACCCTTTAATACAATTCCTCATGGTGTGGTGACCCCCAATTTCATTGTTACAAATTGAACATAATTAAAGCATAGTGATTAATCACAAAAACAGTATGTAATTATATACGTGTTTTCCGATGGTCTTAGGTGACCCTTGTGAAAGGGTCATTCGACCCCCAAAGGGGTCGCGACCCATAGGTTGATGCCATCTGTGACACTGAGCGCAGTGTTCGGCGAACTATTACCTTAAGATGGGCTCCAGATCAGGATGTCGCCGTTCCTCCCGCTTCAGTGACCCCTGATTCAGGGCTCTCAGAATGGTCTTGTCAAAAGTCTCTGAAGACAGTTCCTTGGGAAGCTGGAAAATAAAAAGAGCATGGTCAGGGTTAAGTTTCTCACCTGCTTGGTAAACCCAGGCAAAGGGGCAAATAAATGCCACCTGCTCAAGAACCACTCCAAAGCAGTTCCTTTTCTA